CAGACCAAGAGAGAGAAGTATGTTGCAGTCAACAAAGTGGAAAGGAGTTGGAAATATGAAGATGTTTTAACATCAGACACGGAGGTGCAGAGTTTGGAGTTTGTCCAGCTTCTTTTAGGTTTTGCTTTAGTCCAGTATTTCCTAACTATTCTCCCTTCATTTTGGGATTGCAATGTATATCCTGTACCATTATACATTGGAAGTATATGATCTGCCTTTTGATTTTGATTTTACAGAAGATTTAAGAGATTGCATGAATTTCTGAAGAGACCTTTAGACTTTTAAATAAATTTGAGACTGTTAGATACTATGAGAACTTCTGAAGTTGGACTGAATGAATTCTTGCATTATGATATGCCTACAAGCCTTTGGGGGCCAGGGGATGGAATGTAGTAGTTTGAAAAAAAAAAGACCCACAAAGGGAGTGGCCCTATTAGGGTGTGTGACCTTGTTGGAGTAGGTATGTCCTTGTTGGAGTAGGTGTGGCCTTGTTGAAGGAAGTGTGTCACTGTGGGGTGGGCTTTGAGGTCTCCTTTGCTCCAGCTATGCTCAGTGTGGCACACAGTTCACTTCCTATTGCCTGAGGAAGAACCCATGTCTGCCTGCAAGTCACCAAGTCCCACCATGGCGATAATGTACAAACCTCTGAAACTGTAAGCCACCACAATTAACTGTTTTTTTTTTCATAAGTGTTCCTGTGGTCACAGTGTCACTTCATAGCAATAGAAACCCTAACTAAGATAGTGCCCAATTAGTGGAACTATTCCTGGAGGCGGTAGACCACGGGAAGTAGGCTTTGAGATTAAAAGTCCTCTGTCACCTCCAACTTGCTCTCTGTTTTGTGCTTGTGATTCAAGGTGTGAGCTCTCAGCTTGCTGCTCCTGACACCATAGCTTCTGCTTATTGCCATACCATTGTTCCAGCATCATAGACTCCTATCCCTCTGGAACCAAAAATAAACCAAATATGAACCAAAAATAAACTCTTCCTTAGTTGCGTTTGGTGGTGGCATGCATGAGGAATATACAAGACACAATCATGTTTACATAACTTTGTGATTTATTATTAATTATGATTAACTTCTATGTGTAATTTATGAGTTAAATTTTTTAAGGTAAAATAAAAATTATCTTAGCTAAAAAAAATGACCTTAAAGAAAAATAAACAATCACAGAATATGCAAGGTTTGGCTCTACCTATGGTTTCACATGTCCCCTGAGAATCCTGGAGTATATTCCCTACTGACAAGATGGAGTGTTTTCAGAACGTGACAAATCATTTCCCAAAGTGTCTGGATAAACAGTATAAGCAGGCCCTATTTCCTCCACATCCTTTCCAAAATTGGGTATTTTACCAGTGGTGTGTGTGTGTGTGTGTGTGTGTGTGTGTGTGTGTGTGTGTGTGTGTGAGTGTGTGTGTGTACTTGTTAATGTGTGTGAGCATGTATGTGTGTACTTTTTAGTATGTGTGCATGTGTGTACTCTTTTTTTTTTTTTTTTTGGTTTTTACGAGACAGGGTTTCTCTGTATTGTTTTCTAGGCTGTCGGTCCATCCCAGCCTCGAACTCACAGAGATCCGCCTGCCTCTGCCTCCCGAGTGCTGGGATTAAAGGCGTGCGCCACCACTGCCCGGCTGTGTGTACTTTTTTTTTAATGTACATCCGTGCACTTGTAAGTGTGCGTGTTGTATACTTGCATGTATGTATTTCTTAGTATGGGTGTATGTGTGTACTTGCTTAGTATGAGTGTGTGTTTGCACATGTGTACTTGTAAGAGTGTGTATATATGTTGTATACATGTTAGTGGGGTTGTGCTGGTATATGTGAAGCCTAAGGTTGCTCTCCAACTTTAGATTTTGAGACAAGGCTAGGGGTGCCAATGAGCTTCAGTGAGCCAACTGTTTCTGTTCCGGTCAACTCTCCCCACCCCACCCCATGGAGCTTGGTTTATAAGGAGTTCTCTCTCTCTGTCAAACTCCCTTTCCCCAACTTTTTACATGAGTTCTTGGGGGTTATCAGGTCCTCAAAGCCATACTTCTGCCCACATCTTTGTCAACAGAACCGCCTCCCTAGCCCTAAGCAGTGTTACTTTTAGGATTTTAGAAAGAGAGATTTTTTTTTTTGTTTTTGTTTTGTTTTTAAGACAGTGTCTCTCTATTATGCAGCTCTGTGTGTCCTAGAACTCACTCTGTAGACCAGGCTGGCCTGGAACTCAGAGGTCTGCTTCTCTCTGTCTCCCAAATGCTGGGATTAAAGGTGGCTGGAGCACAGAGCTTTTTTGTTTGTTTTGTTTTGCTTTACTTTGTTTTTGACAAAGGTAATTTTCAACATCCCACATTAAAAAATAATTTTTAAATACATGAACTCAAGTGGCACAGTTTTTTTTAAAAAGTTTTATGGTTTTGTCTCCTATATTTAAAGTAGTCTGTAACCATTTCACATTAATCTTTAGGTGAGGTTATGCTTTCTCTTTTCTATCTTTTACAAATTGTTTTTGTACATGCCACTAACCACAACTGTTAGGCATCTTACATTTTTGCTATGCTGGATTTGCATTTGTCATTCCCTCATGGTCACCAGGAGGCAGAACTATAGCTGGAAGAGGCCATTTTTTTCTAGAACATTCAAGAAATTTTTGTTCACTTCTTAGACCTAAACTGGACACATTCACTATCACTGGAATGGGAATGAGATAGCCATACTTGCTTTATTCATCTCACAAGATAATAGTTTGTTTTTGGATACACTTTAAGGGCCTTGACTTCAAAAGGATATATACTTTACCTGCCATGACGGCTAGTCTTGGTTGTCACCTTCACTGCACTGGAATCACCTAAAACAGAGTCTGTGGGGCATTCAGGGGAGGGATTTTCTGGATCAGACTACTAGAAGCAGGAAGACCAGCATCAGATGTGTGTGGGGGTGAACCTTCTGGTGACAGCCCAGAAAGGACTAAGATGCTGTTGGAATACAGGTCCCAGGAAAGTGCCGGGGTAGATGGTACAGACAACAGAGTAAAGAGGAGTTCCCACTGAACGATAAATGCAAAGGTGCTACGAATAAAAAACTAGGAGGCCACCGTAGCAGGAAAAGAAAAGGAATTGGGTAATTCGGATGCAAATGTGGGCAGGCAGATCATTTGAGGAAAATTTCTCTCAACCATAGGCAGCTTGGAAAAATTTGGTGACTTCTAGGGAAATTGATTGTCCTAATCTGTGTCCCTCCCCCACCCTCTCATGAGCAGTAGGGACTTTCCAGCCTGATCACCAATAGTGCACAGAGTGACATTGCTTTGGGTCATAAATGAAGTAAATTAGAATGACACTGCCAACCATTTAAACTAATTTACTTTTCTTTTGTCCTTTTTAAAAATAAAAAGCTTGGCTGCTTGTTGTAAGTAAACCAAAGGAGCAGGAGGGCCAGAAACATACACATGTGTCTGAGTCCTCAGAGTCCCACACAGGCATCTCCTGAAGCCCAGGCTACAGGGAAGCGTCCTTTGTAGGGAGGGTGACCTTAACCCCCAGGTCTTCCCTTGTGTTGTTGGGATCACAGGCCTGAGCCAAATGAGCCCCTGACTGTCCCTGCTGGGGGTTGTGCCATACAAACACTAAGGAAGCCACACCCCTGTCTCCAAAGTTCTTCTGAACAAATCCTTTTATATCCTCACCGTCTAGTGCCCTTAAACATCAGCCTCATGCCATCTTCCACTTTGGGAGTTTTATAAAATTACCAGTTCCTTACTTACCAGTTCAGTGAAGAGATGTTAATACCACCAAGCCACTACCACTACCACAGTTATTTCAGCCAAATTTGAAACAAATTGCATTCAATACTGGCCAGGAAAATGGAGACTGGCCAGGTCCATACCTGGGATTCACAGAGTATGGCTGCTGATAATTACATTAGGCAGGGACTTACAAAGTCAAGCCCCACAAAACTATGCACTTCCTGCCTGCCTCCAATCAGGGGCAAGCATCCAATCTAAGGTAATTCCTGCCTCCTGCATGTGCTCAAGCAAACCCTGTGCAGGTGGAGTAACCAAAGTTGTGTACAGAAATGAAAACATGTGTCTTGTTACATGAACAGTCCCCACCATTCCAGGAGAGTTATCTGTTCTTGGACAAGTGGGGTTTACAAGTTAGAGGAATTTTTGTTTTATAGCTCTCTTAAGCACATCAATTTAAACTTAAAACACAACTTTAGCCCTCACAGAGAGAGCATCATTTTTCCTTTCAGTATTTGAATTTGGTAATTATTGACTGTTTTTAGGTAAGGAACTTAAGCGCTGTCTAAATAATTGTTTTCTGGGGATTTGATTTTTTTTTTTTTTTTTTTTTTTTTTTTTGGTTTTTACGAGACAGGGTTTCTCTGTATTGTTTTGGAGGCTATCGGTCTAGCCCGGCCTTGAACTCACAGAGATCCGCCTGCCTCTGCCTCCCGAGTGCTGGGATTAAAGGCGTGTGCCATCATCGCCTGGCTGGGATTTGATTTTTATAACTCTTAAAATAGAAACTCACTGTGCACCCTTAAGGAACTAGAAATACACTTAACATACTTCTCTCAGTTGTCACAGTAACCTTGAAACCCACTAACTAAACTTTTCCATTTTACAAACGGGAAGGTAGAAATGTACTAACTAAATTATATTTTAAAGGTATCCAACTAGGCCGAGTCACAGGCGGCTGCCCGGGAGTGTCCCACTCAGATACAGTCCCCCATCCCCACCCTGGACTCCTGCTGAGGTTCACTCGTTCAGTCCAGGTCCCTGGGGCTGGGTGGCTCTGCCTGGCTGCTGGGCGAGCTCTTCGTAAGGGCTGGGCCAATTCGAAAGCGGTTGGTACTTAGGACCGGTACAGGAAGTCTTCACTTCTTCCTAGTCCAGTGCTCGCCCTGGTTTCTCCACCCCACGCTACTCCGAGGGCACTTCACGCACACCAGGGCGGGGCTGGTACCGCCTGACGATCTAGTTCCCGGGGCCCCGACCTTAGTTAGGGCGGGTGGGTCCGGGCAGGCCCGGTAGCCTCGGGCGGCCTGAGCTGCGGGGAGGCGCCCGGAGCTCGCCCTGCCCCTGGGAGGCGCCTGGTGCTGCCCGCCTACCTGCAAGGCCCGGGCCCCGCCTGGTCGCAAAGACCGGCGCTGCGGGGACGTGGGCGGCAGGTCAGTCTTCCCTGGGTCCCCGCGTCGCCTGGGCTCCGGTGCCCGGCGCGTGGTGTCGCGCGCGCGGTCCGGGCGGCTGCAGGCCGGGCCTGTGCTCGCCCCTGGGTACCGACGTGCCCCGGAGCCCGGGTCAGACGCCTCTGCACCCCCGGGGACCGTCCTGTGGGGGACAGGGCCGCCGATGCCCCGGGAGGGGGTCTGCACCCGGCGAGCTCTTCGCCCCTGCGCCACCGGGTACCCCGGACTTCATGCATCTTTTTAAGCTGCCCGTTCAAAAGTTGTTCTGGGAAGACGCGAAAGTTTCCGCCAGCAACTCTGGCGTGGGCGCCACGAGGTCCTGCCTGGTGCAGGGGACGCGGGGACAGCCGTTCTCCTTGAGCGCCGGGCCCGAGGCGTCCATGGTTTAGATTTCCCGCCCCGCCGCTGGCCGTGCGCGGCCCTGGGTTCAGTAAGGGGAGGAGGGAAAATCCTACCTAGGCGAAGGTGGGGCGCCGCGAGAGCAAAGTTGTGTACTGTGTATTTGTGAGTCTGCCCTGGTTAGGCTTGTTTGTTGTCGACTTTCTGCCTCCCAGGGCCATCTGGGAAGAGGGAACGTGAACGAGAAAAAGCCTCCAGTAGATTGGCCCACAGGCCTCTGTTGGTGTGGCTGATGGATTGAGGGCACAGCCCACTGTGAGCCCTGCCACCCTGGGTAGGTCCTGGGCTGTGTCAGATAACTGAGCCGCCAAGCCAGTCATTGGGCAGGGTTCTTCTCTGGCTGTTGCTTCAGTACCTGCCTGCAATTCCTGCTGCCCTGACACCCTTTCAGGACGGACTGAACAAAAATATGAAATAAATCCTTTCTGTCCCAAGTTACTTTTATTGTGTTTACCACAGTAATAAGAACCAAACTAAAGCAGGATATTTTTCAGGTGTTTGGTTTTTTTTTTTTTTGTCTAGAAATACTAAGAGGATCATGGTTACTTTCATGTTTTGTTTCAAGCATTTATTCTGATATTTATTAATTTAATTGTATACCCCTTAGAAACGTTTTTTGGCCAGCCTGCAAAAGCTCCCATTGGTAATTTGCTAATCTATACAATGATAATTGATTGAGGCTTTATGGTTTCCTTATGAAGTATACAATTCCTGTTATCTGTACATCCATAATCTCTAAGGCAAAGCTGTTTTCACGTTGCTGGGAGTGAGTGAGAGAGAAAGAGGGTGTGTCAGAAAATCAGAAATAGCCTGAACTAGCCAGTGGCCTTATCTGTCAGATTAGATGGCCAGGAGAACCCTTGCTTGGTGGTCTGACCTTTGAATTAAAGCCATACCCCTCCCCAGTCACTGACGGCCTCATTCTAACACAGCATTCTCAACGAATGAGTATTTACATGTGTATGAAATAGCCTTTTAAGGTGTATCCTGTAGTATTAATAAATAAAGTGGAGTTTTGAGGTATTGCTGTAAATGAAACACAGTAGATATTTTTAAAGATTTCTTTTTATTTTTAGATGTGTACAGTGTTTGTGTATTGGGTATGTGGTGTGAGTATACAAGGCCCCCTGTATCAGACCCCTGGAGGGGGAGTTACAGAGGTGTTAGCTGCCCTGTGGGTGCTGGGAATGGCACCAGGTCCTCTATAAAAACATCTCCTCTTAACCACCTGCTATAACGATACTTGATACTATATAAGGAAAACAATATATTTATTTACCAGAGAGAGAGAGAGAGTCGCACTGACCAGGAGTCAGAAGCATGGCTGGCTTCCAGCAGAAAAAAAGGGAAGGCCCTTTTCCTTTCACTTCCTTTTATCTCTACCTTGACCCCGCCCTGTTGGGCGGGTAGCTTTGTGGCATTCACTCCTACAACCTGCCATCACTCCAGCCCCAGCAGACATATTATATACATTTACGGTATCTCAGATGTCAAAGTATATGGATTTCTAACTTGGATATGGTGGATAGCCTTCTCTAGTTGGAATTGAACACACGGTCCTAATCTTAATTCTTGGTAAAACATTTGGAAAAATGAGTTTTAATGCTAGAGTTTTGTTTTTAACTGTTTACCTCATCCCTCTGCTAACAGATGTGATGGCACCAAGAAGAAAAGAGAAATACAAACTTCCGGTTCCACTCCCAGAAGGCAAAGTTCTGGATGATATGGACGGAAACCAGTGGACACTGGGCAAGATGATTGGCTCTGGAGGGTTTGGACTGATATACTTAGGTAAAGTATGACTAAATCGTCAAATACAATACAATAATATGGCAGTAATCATTGTAACTATGGTAACAATGGTATTTTTAAGACCTAAGTGAAATAGCATAATTCATAGTTATTTTAAAGTAATTTGAAGATAGTTAATGTCTAGCACATTAACTATAAACATTAGGTTCAAGCCATAACTGACATTACATGTTCCCTGTTGTCTTTTTTTCCCCCAGTAACTTGTAGAAGACTTTTCAGAGCATAATTGTACAGTCTGCCAGAATATGAATTTTCTTTTTGAGAACTTGTTTTCACTGATTTTTATAGCTCAAAACAACAACTGTATAAATATAAATATTTAAAAAACATATTATGTGTATGACATCTGTAGGACACGTCTATGGGTTCTGGGACTCACTCAGGTGGCTACACACCTTTACAGGCTGAGCTGTGCTTCCGGCCCCTGCCGTGAGCCCCCTAATCACTTTTGTCTAGGCAGTACTAGGGCCTAACAGTTTCATGACTCTGCTCCACATAAAATGGAGCCTTAGTGACAGAAAGCATCTATTGCATGGGATGTGAACTTCTCTTGTATGACTGTAGTTTAGTAGCTATGTTCCTCTGGGGAAAACTCAAAAACTAGTTGCTCAAATCACCTTCTGTGCTTTATGATACCGCAAGGGAACCATGCTTGGGTGTGCTTCTACACTGCATTGAAATGTTTAGAAATTACATTGAACTTAAGAGACCATATAGAGCAGTCTTAATGCTGTGATGGCACAGGGAAGGTAGTCCTGTGTGATAGTGTTTGATGAATAAGATACTGGTGATTTGAAAAGCATAATCTGGATTTTGGGTGTAGTAAGTAGCCCATGCACGGTTTTGGGTGCCATGATTTCAGCACCTCCCACCCCAAACCAAAACCACAACATAAGACTTTTCCATATATTCATTTACTCTACAACTGTTTCTGTAGTAGAAATCTTTGGGGCTTGTGCATGCTGTAATCACAGCATTTGAAAGGTGGAGACAAGGTCAGCTTGGTCCATGTCCTAAGTTCTGGGCCAATCAGGGCTATGTAGTAATATCATGTCTCAAACAAACAAACAACATAAGGGAAAAAACCCAAAAAACAAACAAGGAAAAAAAAAGAACAGGAACCAAAGCACTCTCACCCCCAATACCAGACCAAAAATATCTTTGAAATCTCAAAACAAATAAACAAAAAGGGAACCTCTTTTGGGGAAATTCTGGGTTCCTTCTCAAACAAACATGTTTCTGGATCATGTATGACTAAGATATTACTCTTGATGTTTTCCTTTTTTTTAATTTTATTTTGAGACAATCTCAAATAGCTGAAGCTAGCCCTGAACTCCTGATCCTCCTTCCCTTCTGGGCTGGGATTATAGGTGTAAACTGCCATACCTGGTGTACTGAAAGAAATTCAGTAAATAAGCAACTACTTACCTATTACTTGTGTTTAGCATAATTGGAAAAACAAGATCACAAAAAAATTATATGGGCTGAGCAAAGAGCAACTTGTCAGTTTAAAGAGTGTCACTGTGCGTGGTGGCTTTTGGAGCTGCAGCCACTGACTCTGACTTGAAGACCAGACCAGACAGGGCTGTCATTAGAACCTGTTAGAAAACAAGCAAAACACTGTATGCTTGAGTGCTAGATCAGACAACAAAGGCAGGCAACACTTTTCAATAGAAACATAATAGGAATCACCTACATAATTTAAAGGTTTCAAAGAGCCACATTAAAAAATTAAGAGAAACAGGTGAAATTTATTTTACTAATATGTACTATGCAGTTTAAAATATCCAAAGTAATTCATTTTGTTGTGTTCATGTAAGAATAGTGAAATACTTTACATATGAGTGGAAGTAAAAATCTAGAGAGCATCAAGTGCGAAGAGTCGAATACCACAACGGTTCATAAGAATGCAGGCATGTGTCTGGTGAGAGCCAGGTGCGTGGAAATGCAGGCGTGTGTCTGGTGAGAGCCAGGTGCGTGGAAATGCAGGCGTGTATCTGGTGAGTGCCGGGTGTGCAGAAGGCTGAAATACCTGCAGAGTGAGTGCTATCTGAAACTGGGTAGTGAATTCTTTCCCTTAGCGGTCAGTTAAGATCTCTAGTATATTGTCTTGACGATAGGTCAATGATAGAGTTGAGTAAATTATGGCTAATGTGACTGGCCTTGAATCTCTACGCTACCACGTATTACTTCTAAATTATTTGAATAATTTCGAAATAACTGAAGAGAAGCTTCAACTATAATGGTCTGATCCCTTTTCACTTCTTAAAATGTAAATATCTATTTGTGTTTATTTGAATTCAGGCTTACGTTGAAGATTAAATATCATGTTTATACACATATTTTATAAATCTGTGTGTATATGCCACTTGTTTATCTCTGGTTAATAAGGAGAACTCTCCATGCTCTGCAGTGGTTGACATCCTTGTTCAAGTGCAGAAAGTTCTTTTAATCTAAGTACAGGTCATATGGCTTTTAATTATTTTGTTTCTTATTACCCAAATAAGATTTGTCTTACAGTGCATTTCAAGATTCAGCATGTTGGGTGGCTTCCCCTCTCACCATCTGAATTTTAGAAACTGTACTATGGAAAGGCACATAGTCATCATCATTGGGCAAACTTTTAAGAAACAGTTATTTTGAGAGAGAGAGAGGAAAAAAAACCCAACCCTTCATTTTCAGAAGTATATGCCAAAAGCTTTATTTTTCTTGGGGTGCAATGAATCCCAGAATCAGCTTAAGTTGGTTAGTGTTAGTTTTCACTGATTATTTCCAAAGCTACAAATAAGCAAATCCTTGAGAAGCCCTCTGGTTCCGGCAGTGTACCGTGGTTCTCTTCACGTTGTGTATATGCATTATGAAGCACTTACACTCAAGCTTTCCTTAATAACCGTGTCCAGGGATTCTTCTCAAGTATGCTTCCCAGACACACTGCTTTGGCAGACCCTTTATCAGCGCTCGTGGCCTAAGGCTGAGAAGAAAGTGGCCGCTCTGCCTGGCTCATTGTACATGTACAACTGTCCTCTAGCTTTGAGATCAATAGCCCAGGCTTGTCGGTAATCAGCAACTTGGAGCAAAGGGGAAGGGGCAGAGAAGTTCCCTGTTTACTCTTGGAGAGATAATGTGCCTGTAGCATTCACAGCAGCCATCATAGGAGGGAAGAGAAGTCTGAATGCAAGAACAAAGTCTGTGCTCTCTCTTTGTATATGAAACGGGGGGGGAGGGAAGGAAACTGGTTAGGGTGTGGGAAAGTTGCTGTCATTTTAGTACCAAATGAGCAAAAAAAACTTTCTGAAACTCCAGGGAAAGAGAGAACTGAAGGTTTGAATTTCCTTTAATGCTACAGACAGCATGGAAGCCACTAACCCAAGGGAGATGTGCATAATAAGAGCCACAGTTTTGGTGCTGGGAAAATCTGAGTTGAATTCTAACCTGCTACTAAGTTACTGGCAGGCCGAGTGCTTCCACCTCATTAATCCTAGGGAGTGTTGGTTTCTGTTCTGTAGAATTGTAGCAGTAATTGCGTGGATTAAGTGAGATGTTTTTAAACAGTTCGGGACATAGTAAGCACTTAGTAAGTCGAGTCTATTTAGAATTTCCCATTCTGAATATCTGGTGCCGTGGTGCATTAGGAAGAGACCTTCATTGGAGGGGTTTTCTGTTTCTTCTGCCTTAAGTTGTGGTGGATTTAGCTACTAATGTTGTAAAGAACACAGACTGTCTACAGGTGCCTTTGTGTTTTATTTAGCACTCTGTGTCTGTTCCCTTTAAAATTTACTAGCATGGTACAGTGCATGGTGAACAATTCCATTTGGACTGTTTCCTATTTACTTCAGATGGGAAAGGAATTGGACTGGAAAAATTAATGAAAATGTAGAAAAGAAAAACTATAGGATAAATGTCTATTACATTCCTTTAAAAGACTTTATTGTTGAGGGATTAGACTGAGATTGGGGTACTCAGCCCACACAAGTGAATTAACTTTGTTCTCTGCTGTAACTACAGATGTTACCCATAACCCAGCCACCCTCAGTGTAGATGTGTTCTATTAGACATGAAGAGACCTGCTCAAGGTAGCTCATTTCGTCCTCCAAGACAGTGGTTCTCAACCTTCCTAATGCCACAGTAAACGCCTCATGTTGTGGTGACCCCAACCATAAAATCATTTTTGTTGCTACTTCATAACTGAAATTTTCCTACTGTTATGAATCGGAATGTAAATACCTGTTTTCTAATGGTTTTAGGCAATCCCTGTGACCCCAGTCCACAGGAAAAAAATTGCTTCTCTAACAATAAATTGGTATCATTGTCTTTTACAAAGAGTAACACATTATAACTGAAATTGGTCATTTGATGATTCTATTCCAAGAATCATTACTTATCGATAGTAGTTAAGCTTAGTTAAGTAAATTTTGGAGATTTTTGTTACTGTTCTTACATTATCCTGACGTTGCTTTTCAGAAACAGAAGGAATTTATGTGTGTGTGTGGGGGTGATTTTTAGAAGTTGTCAAATTTAGCCTATTTACTGATGAGGAGATATTTCCACTTATAAAGGAATAGAAGAATGTGTTGCTGGATTGCTTGGTTTATTATAGAGTTGACTACAATGGATTGATTTTTAAGGTATGCAGAATAACATTCAGGAAAGTCAAATCATAACACTAGTAGCAATAGTAAATGAAAGGAGGATAATGGAAAAGAACAATAATTTGTTTAGAAATTATAGTAACTATATATATATATTGTATACACAATAAATGAGTTCCTAGTAAAGGCATAGTTAAGAGACAGGAACTCAAGTTTACCTGGTTTTTAAAAATTTATTGAATGTGTTAGAACTATAGGTAACTAAAAGATCTGGAAGATGTATTTGAATTTTGCATGTGCTGTCAGTAGGCTGTTAATTTTGAGTTTATATGAGATAATGCTGTTCTTTTCCCTCTTAGTCAAGAAATCCAAGTAATTAAGAAAGTTTGT